AAAAAAATATTCAGTTTTAATCGAATGCGACAAATGTAGGAATAACCACTTTTTTCAGTTAAACATATACTAACTTAATTTTATTGACTTTGTTCCCGATTTATGTGTGGGGTCAAGAAAGACAAATTAACTTTCGCGCCTCCCTACGTTCAGAAATGAGGTGTTTAAAAATTAGGGAACTTAATCATTTAATTTGTAAATTTTTAAAAGTAAGAAATGTAGCTTTCGAACATTCCAGTTATGGGCAAACGGAATGTTCAGCTGCCGGTACAATATCGTTGCCGTTCGACACACAAGGCGGGCATGTTGGTGGACCTGCGGCTTGGGCACAAGTCAGATTTCCGTACAAATTTTGCTTAATAAATATGGTACAGGGTTCAAAGAGCCTAGTAAAAAGCTAACTTGGCGGTTAAATTGACAGATATCTTTGAGGTGAAATTAATGGATGTCAAAGAACTGGGTTACAGTGCGGAAGAAAACATCGGCGAAGTGTGCTTCCGCGGCGCAGCTCTTATGAATGGTTATTTTAATGATCCAGAACAGACTTCCAAATCAGTTGATAATGAGGTAATCAACTGTGAATTTAAGCTTCATTCAATAAAAAAATTCGGCAAAAGGTGCTCTCATCTTGTCTTCTCAATAAAAAATTTGTGGTTTGAGAATTTTTTTGAAGAAAGAGTGTTATGATCTGCGCAGAACGCATTTGGCAGCATCAGCGCTCTTAACAGCAATAAATATTTGAAAGAAATCCCAGGCTGGAACGCACCAGACTTGTCGATACGACCATGCGTTTTTGCAATAAATTCGCAGATCCCTAATAACAGGAATGATCCCTGCGCTGCAACCTAACACTTGGGCTCATATTGGCCGTGCTCTGGCCTCTTCCGACATAGAGTAGAAAGGGCATCGATTGGGATAAAGGTTTTGCATTGCAGAACCTCCAGGTACATGATTATCAGTTTTTTGCATGAAGCCGGTTTTTATGCGTTTTTGCCTATATGCAAATTGCAAAAACGCATATTGGGACGACCCTGTCT